ATGTATGATGGTAACGCATTAATATCCTTGTTTCTCAATGTTTCACGGAAAGGACAAGAGCGCCTTGATAATGAAAATGTCAACCCGAATAAAGTGTTAAATTAAGAGGTTGAGGTAGTACCTTAAATACTTTTAACCATTATGTTATAGTCCTTTAAATTCTGAACAAAATTGTACAAATCCCATTTCCGTATATTTACTCTCACCGCTTACACATGGTAAAGGTTGTTGACAAACTTATGGGAGAAAGTATGTGTCAGAATGCTGATACCGTTTATTTAGTTTAATCATTGGATATAACATATGGACCAACAATATCCGGGTGACATTTAATTGCGAAGCATTAGTTTTGGCTTGAAACTGTCAGATACTGTATTTGCGAAGGAATAGTTTTGTCAGCATATCTGAAAGTATGCAAACCAACTGCTGTGCTTTATATAAGAAGGTTGACTATACTGACTATGATAAGATCCCCGTGCGTAGAACGGGCACACAGCTAGTTAGAAATATTTAACTTCAAACAGATAGTTTGCTTCCTTTGTTGAAACAAAATGTTTATTTTCAAATGGTTGTCTAGTCTCCGGATTGTACTTTAACCTGGATTTTATAATCCTTAGTGGTTAGAGGGGATCATCAGGCCTACAAAAAGTCAGGTAATCATTTCATTTGATGGTCGTCAATAGATTTCAACAAATGAAACACACACGAGACACAAAAAACATGAAATAGACATTATGAAACAAATCTAAGGCACATTGAGAAAAGCGAACGTGACCGGAGTGAAGTAAAGTCTAGACTGCCGCCCAAGGTCTGCCTCTGTCTTCATAAAAAAGGAAAAAATAATGTTACTAACTCCAGGGAAAGAAGCAAAATTTCTCCTTCATTTGTTTGAGAAAGTAAGCCAAACTTCAAACGAAATAACTGTTTTATTTACTACAATATTACAAGTTTCTAGTCTATCTGCACAGTTGGCAATTTTTAACGTTTTCAAAGGGAACGACCCAAACCCTAGTCTTGTTACCATCTAACATCGACCTAGATTAGATAGCATCATTCATGTTGACCCAATGACACTATGCATCTGAGTCCAATAACAACCACGCTTGGAATCGAAGCAGCGACCTTCAAGTTTAAATGCGAACACTAACCTCTCGGCTATCATATGAAGGTTTTGATCTTCGAATTTAATTTAATTTAATAATTTGAAGCTGTATAATACGTCTATTAACTTAGCCGATGAGGTAAAGGTAACATTAAATGCTTGTATGTAGACTGGGACGGGTGGCGTCGTCCTGTAATCCAGCTACTAGGAGGTCACGAATTGTGGATATTTATAGGCATGCACTGTGGATGCGATACTCTCTGGTGTGGATTAACGTCCGCACGAGTGAGTACTACGACTATCCGAAGTACCATCCTGATAGTTAGACCAACTCGTATATAGGTCTACCAAGGCAAAAATGTGGTTCGGATTCCACTATAAACTGTAGGTCCCTTAGTTGCCATTAGCTGTATGGGCTATTAATTAGTGTCTAAGGAATATGTCGGCCTTAGTCACTAACAAGACCGCGCCACTCATCCTACACTCATCTCCATTCATACTTGGCTTAAAATACCTACTTTGAATGGTCGCCATTTCATCGAAAAGTATTAAAGTATTAAACTCCTACTAAAAATTGTATTTGTTTACACATTTTTCTGATGTCAGTCTTTTTTATCCTACCTTGAATAAGTCAAAGCATGTTTTAAACCTACATTCGTTCGTCGTGATGTCCCAGTCCAGTGAGCTGAAACCCTACTGGACTGAGGCTGTTATAGGACTTTGTCCTCTTCAGCCAAAAACATACAGGCATGTGTGGTAATATTATTACAGTTGGGAACAGTTACGCTTTAACTCACTATAAAAGTAGTGGTGAAAGCAGCGATAACATACACCTCAAACGAGCAAAACCATACTAACTAGTCCAGCTACCAGCGAGTTACTGTGTCCCTCTTTGGTACAGTACAACCTTCTGATTCCATACCAATCCTTAAACGACAAATTATATCCAAACACAACTTTTGACCTAAAACATTAAACGTACGTAACCCACCAGAGTAGCCTGAGTCGTGATTTTCTCATTACCTTTTAATGACCACCGTACTGAAGGGGAGGGGGGGGCGGCGGCTCCATTACACGACAAAAGGAAAGTGACTGATAGTTGTAGGATTGTGAAAGCTGTAATTCGAACTGTGTGGCGAGCGAGGTAATGTAGCTATGATACTCTCACACCTGTAGATTGCACACACACACACAGTCCCAGACCTTTCTCAAGTCGCTTGGTCACTGGTCACACACCTTGGTATCGCAAGGATCATTTGTGGTCAGAATATTGAATGGCCTTCTCTCTCTATCACGTTTCAAAAGTCTTCTTGTTTGCGCTTCGAATCGGGTTTCACGTTTTTTGTTTGAAAAGGCATGAACAACTTGATATGTTGAAATCAAACACTGTAAATTTTGGAAGCTGATCAAGTTTTAAGGATATTTAGGATATTTCATCCAAAAGAATTATCATTCGCAAATTTTTACAGCAGAAAAATAATGATTAAATAAACTACTTGAAAAACAATAAATACGTCTAATAACACTTGCAATAATATGTTTACAATCGTACTGTTGACTAACAAAAAGGTAAATACATGTAAAAGATGGAGAGTGAAGAGCGATTTCGATTGGACGCTCCATATGATCATCAGACCCAATAGGAGAATGAATACGCTATTGGGTCTGATGATGATTGGAGTTTCCAATCAAATCGATCACCACTTACCATTTTTTATATGTTTTTACCATCTTGTGAGTCAACAGTTTAAGTGTAAATATATTATTACAAGTGTTATTAGACGTACTTATTGTTTTCAAGAGATTAATGATTGGCAACAGCACACACAATAAGAGGCTAAAAAATAAGAAAAGTCTGGTTCTATCCATAGTCAACGATTTGCCACTTCAGCATTCATATACATCTAGCCAAGTATAATTTTAATGGGTCTGATTTTACTTGTTTAGTTTTAGTGACTTTTGCCCTGTACATTTATGTATTATTATGGCAATAAAACATTCTGATTCTGATTCTGATACTATGTCCACAAAGTCTCCCGGTGTTTTCAATGATTAAGTGATCGCAGAATCAACAAAACACAACCAAGCTACCGTTCCCTTCCAGAAGATATGGAACTTGCACAAAAACTCGTCAAATCTGTTCCCGACACTCGCAGTCTCAGTCAAACTGTGCTGAGTTATTTGCACATCTGTCGCTGTAGTGGTTAGCAAGTTGAGAGGACGTCGGCCAAATTGAGTCATAATTCATCTAGACACTCCCCGTACAGTTCTGCGTAATTAAGAACATTCCTGCGGCATATTCTAGTGTCAGATTTATAATAAACCTGTTCGTAATCAAGGAAACGTCGATGGCCGGATTAACTGTTTTTGCTCCGTACATCCACGATGCGTTATGTAGATATTATGATAATGCACCGGATTTGACTCTGAACCTGAGCGATGGAGATATGTAAAACGAGACTTGGACAATGTAATCTGATATTTGTAAGATGATGTAATGATTGGTATAGTTTGGAATAAAGTTAAATGGTAGTAATTTCCTAAATTTGTATCTGAATTTGTCAAATGTATCTGGATTCCTCCAAGTAATAGAATCGATGAAGATTTCATCTACATGTTCAAACATAAAAATTTAAATCCACGTACAATTTGTTTTCGGTGAGTCATCTTGCTTCGCTTCCCAATCCCCACTAGGACTCAACTGTCATTAATAAATGCAAAGGAAAGTGAGATTTACTCTAAGTTTCAATTCAAAATCTTCTGGCATATAAAATACAATCACCCTGCTTACACACTATGTGATTATATATATATATATATATAAAGCTGCTGTGTAACGAATAGTATCCGATATTAATTAACTACATGCATTACCGGAGCACTAATGCTATTTAGATCAACTCTCGAGAAGGTTGGTATTAGAAACTACCGTAGGAGATTAGTTGTCTAATAGCTTAATTAATAAGAACCGAGCTCAATATCCTTTCCACTTCTGGCGTGTATCTTGCTTACGTGATATAAAGTAAATTGAACCGTAAAGTGGGAATGCTATTTACATCTTACTTGGGCAAGTAACCAATGACTGAAATAGTAAAGCGACAAGATATTCTGAAGTCAAGATGTTCCGTTATCAAGATTTTCCATATTGTCAAGATGTTCTGTTGTTAAGATGCTCCGTTGTCAAGATGTTCTGTCGTCAAAAGGTTCTTATCCCCCTTCTATTCAGGACTTGGGATGGCTGGCCGTGATTTCATAAACTCAAAACCTTAAGCTTAACCAAAAGATATTGACATCAGATTTCAGACAGGTTAACGTAGAATTAGTTTAAAAAGGTGTTATTCATAAAATGGAGTAATCTAATTTGTACAGTCAACGTGGCGTTCAAACCCGATTTTCTGCTATTTTCGCGTCCTCGAAATTTATAGCGTTATTATCACAGGACAGGCGCCCCAGGAGTCCTCGTGGCCCTGGGGGAGGGGGTTGCACGCTCACGGTCAGGGGTTGATAACAGATTGCTCTATCAATAATCACGACACACTTCAGAGAGAACTGCGAGGGACCACAGAGAAAACAGTGAACTGTAGAGGTTTCGCGACGAATCGAAAGATGAAGATTAGGTAAGATTAGCAAGGTAGACCATAGATAAAAGACATTTTGGTCTTTAATATTTATATCTTGTTGTCTTTTCGCCCTCAATATTATCAGTGTTTTTAATTGGAGCCTCCAATAAGACTAAACCTAGGAATATTTGGAGTGATAAAAAAGTTATCTTAATAACTGGTGGATCCTACATCATGTTTCTATCGTAGTTGATTTGTAGACAGCATTATGTTTGATTTTAGATTCTTATTTTGCAATTAATTAATACTAAGCTTTCTTTAAAAAAAATATGTCATACCTGATCAGGTCGAAGACCTGGAGGAACCCAGGTGTACTCCTCGAGTGCGCAGCCAGAGTCATCGTCAGAGTGTGAATGTCGCTGAGGGTCTAAAACCTTGCCAGCCAGAGGGGCGGAGTCCGGGGGAGGCAGCGACATGGACAACGTCTGACTGTGGTCCTCCCTGGGACTCTTACAGTTGCGGCACACCTTCCTGTAGAAACAACAACAGTGATTACTACTGAGGTACTGAACCTTGCCAGCCAGAGGGGCGGAGTCCAGGGGAGGCAGCGACATGGACAACGTCTGACTGTGGTCCTCCCTGGGACTCTTACTGTTGCGACACACCTTCCTGTAGACACAACAACAGTGATTACAACTGAGGTACAGAACCTTGCCAGCCAGAGGGGCGGAGTCCGGGGGAGGCAGCGACATGGACAACGTCTGACTGTGGTCCTCCCTGGGACTCTTACAGTTGCGACACACCTTCCTGTAGACACAACAACACTGATCACAACTGATGTACAGGATCTTGCAGCCAGAGGGGCGGAGTCCAGGGGAGGCAGCGACATGGACAACGTCTGACTGTGGTCCTCCCTGGGACTCTTACAGTTGCGGTACACCTTCCTGTAGACACAACAACAGTGATTACAACTCAGGTACAGATCCTTGCCTGCCAGAGGGGCGGAGTCCAGGGGAGGCAGTAACATGGGCAAGGTCTGACTATCATCCTCCCTTAGACTGGTACAGAAAAAAAGTCTGTTTACGTAACACTTTTTTTCGTCCTAGGACGCTAGGGATACCGGGATCCCGGGATTGTTTTGCACTTTACTTCAGGCTAAGCCATAGGTCTGGCTTACGGCTAGACCAGCTCGATCTCCCATGTATGTAACACTAATGTAAACTTTAGTATACGTAATTCTAATCCTGTCTACGGAATTAACTTCTATCTATTATTGACAATAAAGATGCGAATTCGAGTAATTTTCATTAGTCGCATCCTATTTTACAACTCACACTTTACGAAGGTTTTACAGTTTTAAAAGTCAGATATTTACGACACGACGTTCTCATATTTTATCCGTTTCAGAGTCTCATTAGTCTGGAATGACTCGACCAGTCCGTTACAATAACGAGGCCAAAAATCGCGCATCTCAGTGCTTTGGGTGCGAAGGCAATAATTAAAGCCCAGAAAGGGCCATTAGCCCACTAATCAAGGGGAGTCCTCGTTCTACTTATTGTTTATGACATTTTTATTATTATTGCCGACGTCGAGGAATGAAAATGAAGGATTCAAGATGGTGCAGTTTTTGTTTAGGGCAATAAAATGCCTAATGACTGGCGTAATGGATTTTTAGATTTGCATTTGCATTTAGTCTAAGAAAAAGTCTGGCAAAGTTTTGCTCATAGTTTACGATAATGACTTCCTTCCTAGATTCTTACGTTTGTACGTTGGAGCTTTATTTTTCTCGGATTTGTGACCTGGTTTTTATGTTTAGCATCATTATAAATTTCCCAATCTGCGATGATCTATAAAAACTGGGGTGATCTATTTCTTTGGTGTTATTTTTGCAAAAGCTTAAACACATATTCACGACGTATCACGAAGCAACCAAATTGTGATAATCTTTATCATCCTGGTCATATTATATACATCGACCGATTTTTAAACATGCCTTTTTAATTCAGTTCTTAGAAGAGATTCACTTAACGTAATGAACTATTTACTTGTTTATTTACATAACATTATTGTTTTGTTACTTTACAGTACAAGTTTGGACCAATGAGGTTCAAGGATTGAGAGATAATAAGTAGAATTGTAGCGCTTTGAACGTCAACTTATCACCTAAGGCCAATTTAATTGATTATGCAATGAGTGAGTGGTTGGGACAATGATTCGTTTAATCAAAATCAGTGACAATGAGAGGTTATAAACGAAAACATAACCTCTCTTAGACGTTATGAGTAGTAATTGTTAGTAATTAAAAACGGTTGTAGGTCAAGTAGTGTACGCAACTCACGTAATTAGCCTTTACGCGATCGTTGCGTAAGCTTCTATTAAATGTATACAAAATACACGATGTGTTATTAGCCGTATACAAAACTTCGTTAAAGTGTATATTATTGATTACATATATATATTTATGAGTATAAGTATATTTATGAGTATAAGTATTGAAACAGAGGTTAATCCAGTTTTCATAAACAGATGAGTTGAGTTAATGAAATGTTAACCGTAGGATACAAAGACAACTCAATGATTTCAGAGGAATGTCCGTTGGATTAAGTTTAAAAGCGCGACCAGAACATCCCCGGCTGGACGAGGCTACTAAGGTAAGTTGTTTATGGTTGAGAGGGAGGGATGATAATTATCTGGTAATCTGAGCCACCCTAACCTCTTCCTCTTCAAGCCAAAGTATAATTTACATTACAACGTTACCTACGTCCTCTCTTGTTCGACTTAAGTTATTCAATTATAAAATACTGAGAACAATTGTTATTGGATACATCGGATACAGTAACTATGTTATCTTTTATTTATTGAGACGGAATAATGTATGATTACCGGTATCAAAATGTTCCAGGAAAATACGAGTTCAGGGGATATTCTAAACTCCTTGCAAAGTTTGCCTAGCACTAGTAAGAGGAAAATTGAGAACTACGGTAGAATCGTAATGAAATTCCTGTCGTGACTTTTGATTTATTTTAGTTGTGTACCAAAACTTACCAAACTCAAACTTAGGAATAAAAACAACCAAAGGGGTTTCCAACAGATGAAAGAAAGAAAGTAAACTGTTATATTCTCCACTCAAACGGAACAAACATTTTTGAATTTGAGTTTCAAGTGACGAAGCACAAGTCATTGTTGTTGGAGACGAATGAATCAGCTGTTCCGACAGTCCAGAGTTAACAGCCAGATGGTAAAGTAAACATTTGTACAGCGCGGTTTACTTTACCACAAACCGCATTCCAAGGCCTATTGAGAACACGACACTCAGCAATGTATGCCTTGGTATACCAAGCATGCGTTCCATGCTTTAAAATGTAACTTTAAACCAATTTAAATTATGACTGATGCAGGGAAGATCATAGACCATCAATCAATAATTAATTAATTAATCAATTAGTACCTAGGGATGGTTCAGTATAGTTTATTTCCATTGTATATTGAGTACAATCTTCAGTGTAATCTTTGTTCAATAGTTACAACTGATGTTTTCCATTTGTACTGCATTTAGTAATTTACTAGTACAACCGTGTTGTAAACACATGTTACAAGTCTTTTGTTTACATTTTCCTTGTTGTTTTGTTCTTTCCCCAACATGGTTAGGCCTACTTGGCAACCCATAAGACCACTAATAAAAAATGTGACTTATAATTTAATTTTCATACGTAAAGTAATTAGATTTTTGCTGGTGGTTTTAACTGCAGTAAACACGTTTTTAGGTCAGATATAAGATCCTAACACGTTTTTAGGTAAGATTGTTTCCTATTTACAACATTTATAGGATATCATCGAAGCCGTTTTCGAAATATTTGTCCAAACATACATTTATACATACAAGAATACAAGCGTACATACAAGCAAACATTGCTATATAAGAGTATAGGATTTGAGATGGGGACGCCACCTAAGTGCGTATTTTAACTCCCAATATGAGTGAAGGATGCTTGTAGGATGGTGTGAGATAATCGTGTAGCTTTGTTACTGACTAAGATCAGCTGGTTTATCAGTCAGAATAATTTATTTAACGCCCAATGATCAGGAGCAGCTGAGTTCGGGTTCGATCCATCAAAAAGCTACTGACTTTTCTCAGGATCAAACCAGCGACCTTTTGATTGTGAGCACTCAGCTACCCAGTCAGTTAGTAGTCGAGCGGTCATAGTTTCACCTGGTAACAAAAGGTCACCGGTTCAATTTTGAGAAATGTCAGTATCTTTTTGACTGTTCGAAATTGGACCCAGCTGTGCTTGGCCATTTGGCTGATGATAAATGGTGTTGGCTAAATAAACAGGTGATTTTAGTGAGTAATTGAAAAGGTTAATATTAATTGTCGTTTCACGTATCTTCTAGCTATTAGCACATTAAAGATAGTTAGGTCAGTATGTTCAAGTTTATGAATCTTTTGGTCGAAATCTCATAAGAAATTTATAAAAAAATTACAAACAATTCACCGACAAATAAAACCACTTTTATGATACATTTCTCATACTTACTGCCTATGTTTAGAGTTTTACGGCCTGTTGCCTTGGCTATTTACATTTATATAATGAGCTACTGCAGCACACTTGGACCACAAAGCAATGGTTGGCCAGCTCTGTTATTTCCCCGTAATCATCTAAAAGGTTTCGTTTTCCTTTGATCTGCCGCTGTCGTGCGGTTGTTCCATTATACAGGTTGACTTTTGTTCTATTCCAAACCGATTAGGCATGACTTTACCCTACTCAAAGGCAAGGTTTGTTGTTTACAAAGTATGACATATACATATATGATTTTAAAAGTGAATATTGGTATCGGTAAAATGTATTTTTTTCCACCGTGGTCATTAAGAACAAGGTGCAGAAAATAAGGGATACACTATTTAAATGATAGTACTGTATTACCAATTTTGCTGCATATATTACTATATTTTACATCATATTATCTCAACAAATAAATTCAATAATTTTGAATGACTCATTCTATTTAGAGTAAAGTAAAGGATACTCTTTCACTATTTCATAGTATTAAACCAGATTCACCTAAAAAAATATAAATCGTAGAACTTAGAAAAATACATACTGAATAAAACACAAAAAAATATCAATTAGCCAGTATTTGTATATTCTATGTTGAATCCGCCTAACAATCCCATAATAAAATTCGTAGTTACATTCTTAATATTACAATAGTTTTTTTTTTTACGATAGGCATATTATTAAGTTAGTCTACATACTCCAACAATGTATCGGGTGTGTAACCAATACATATTTACACGTTATAAGTGACTCAAGAGCATTTAGTATAATTTATGACACTTTCTACATACATGGAAAGTCGTGTCCGCTGATTACCCTTATGACAAAATAGCCAGAAAGACATTTTGGCAATTAAGCAGGTGGAAGCCTAGAAGGAAGCCGATAATAAAGATAATACAGGTAGCGATAATGGAGGGAGGTGTGGGGGGCAAGAATGCTAATGGAAGAGCATGAAGGCTCGGTAACAATTAGCGT